CACTTGCTAGGACCCTGATTGTGTACTACTCTTTATATTATCTTGACGGTCCTTGTGGCTCTTGTACGAATGGATGAACAAGTAGGGTCTTCAAACCCTTGCCGCAGAGGTTGGACTAGTAGTACCTGTCAACTCATACATATTTGCATATGTAGAAATTATAGGCTCGAAGGGTGATGCTCTTAGAGAGCACAACACCCAACCATATATTCCCTTGTATCCCTTCATTCTAGTCATTCGGTTACTCTAAGATGGTATCAGCTAGGTTAGCCGCTCTAGCCCACCCTAGCCGCCTTAGCTCACTGGCCCCATGCTCATAGGCCCCTCGCGTGTCGGCCCTATGCTCGTACGCCCCTCGCTCGCCGGCCCCACGCTCGTTGGCTCCGCGTTTGTCTGCCCCGCGTTGGCCGGCCTCGCGCTCGTCGGCCCCGCGCTCACCGGCCCTGCGCTCATTGGCCCCGTGCTCGCCGGCCCCTCGAACGCCAGCCCCCGAGCTCACTGGCCCCGCGCTTGTTGGCCTCGCGCTCGCTAGCCCCGCACTCGCTGGCCCTGCCATCACCGGCCCCTCGTAGGCCGGCCCCGCGCTCGCCAACCCCTTGCTCGCCGGCCCTGCGCTCGCGAGCCCCGCGCTCTCTGGCCCTGCTCTCGCCGGCCCCGCGCTCGCTGGCCCCTCGCTCGCTGGCCCCTAGCTCACCGGCCCCTCGCTCGCCGGCCCCTAGCTCGCTAGCTGCCCCTTGCACGCTCGCTGGCCCTAGCTTGCCGGCCCTAGCTTGCTAGCCCCAGCTCGCCGGCCCCAGTTTGCGCCGGCCCCCAGTTCGAGCCGGGCCCAGTTCAAGCCGGCCCCCGTTGGAGCCGGCCTCCGTTCGAGCCGGCCCTGGTCTCGCCGGCCCTGTTCCTACTGCCCCAGCTCGCCATGCCGTCGTGATGCCCTGCCACGGTGCCGCCATGCCGCCGTGTCGCCATGCTGCCGTGCCACCGTCTCGCCGTGCCGCCGTGTCGTTGGGTCGCCGGGTCGCTGTGCCGCCGTGCAGCAGCGCTGCCGTGCAGCCGTGCTGCCGTGTCGCCGTCAGCTGTTGCGGCCGTGGTGATGGCGGACGCTGTGCTCTGCCTAGACGCGGTGCTCCGCCTAGACGCGGAGGGTCGTGCGGTCGACTTCGAGGCTTGGCTCACTGACCTCCGCTGCCAGCTGAAGGGTCAGCACCAGGACGGCCAGTCCATGGCCGTCCAAGTCGACTGAAGCTCCCCTGCCCTGCCCCCCCTGTTGCCCTCCCTGACGCCCCCACGCCCATTGAGCATGAGGCCTTTGCATTCGCTGAGAGTCACGCAACGCCGTTGCTCAGCTTGCTATTAGTCACACCCCCCCCCTTGTCCGAGTGTCCTTGTTTTTAGATGGTAGAGACTGCAAAGGACTACTTAGATTCTGTCATTGCGTGCTATTCCACTCCCTCCTCCACCTCTGTCGGCCGTCCTCCTGATCGTGCGTCCTTCCCCACAGTCGTTGCACTTGCTACTCACCTGCGCGTGCTTGAGACTAGTTATTGCATTGCTAGCACTGAAGGCTTAGCTCACTGTACTGCCTCCCCACCTCGGCGCCACCCTGTAATTTCTTGCCATGCATCTTCCCAACCGCCTAGCCACTGCCCGCGACCACTTTCTCGGTCTCCACCTTGCTGACCTCACCCTTACCGAGTTTGTCGCCACCCTGTCTGCGATGGAGACCCGCCACCACGCTATCGCTCAATCAAGCGGTCTCTGGGCATGTTCACCGAGGTCTCCCTGTGTTGCGTCTTCATTCCGACCGTGGTGGCGAGTTTGCCTCTGGTTGCCTTGGTCGTTTTTGTCGTGCGGAGGGCATCACCCAGACGTTCACTCTGCCGGACTCCCCGCAGCAGAATGGGGTCGCTGAGCGACCCATCGACTTGGTCATGGAGGTTGCTCGTACCTCCATGATTAATGCCAGTTTACCCCATTTTCTGTGGCCGTTCGCTGTTCGCTACGCCGCTCACCAAATTAACCTGTGGCCGCACCCTCAGCAGCCGCAGGTTTCGCCGACCCTCCTCTGGACCGGGTCCCCTGGTGACGCGTCTGCATTCCACGTCTGGGGCTGCCTTGCTTACGTTCATGCCTCTAGTACAGACAAGCTTACTGACCGCACTGTCCCGTGTGTCTTTCTAGGTTTCCCCCTCGACTCGTCTGACTGGAACTTTTACCACACGCCGTCTCACCGCTTCTTTCACTCCCGTGACGTCACCTTTGACGATTCTGTCTCCTTTTACCACCGCTTTCCTCACCGTGGTCCCCGGGTTACCCCCCCCCTGATCCTGGTTCCCCCTCCCCCAGTTTCCCCCACTCCCCCCCCTCCCCTCCATGCCCCGTCTGGTGTGTCTCACGTCACCCCTCTCCCGTCCGGTGTCCCTGCCGAGGAGTCTGCTTACTCTCGTGGCTCTGTGGATTCCCTCCCCCCGCCCCTCCCCGCCCAGATCTCTTCTCCCCCGTCGCCGCCATTGCTGTCCTTGCCGCAGCCGCCTCCGCGGCTGCCGTCGCCGCCGCTGAGGTTCGTGCGTTCTGGGGGTGTTTGGGAGCGTGCTGGAGCGGGTTCCCATTCTGGGGGTGCTGGCGTGGAGCTTCTTGGAGGGAGCTGTGCTGTCGCTGGGGGTTCTGGTGTTGGAGTTGGGCAGCAGTCGCCGCCGGTGTCTGCTCTTTGCCTCCTCGGCCTTCCTTCCCCTGCCCGCCTGCCGGTGCCTCCTCCGTCGCCGCCGCCTCCTCCACCGCTGGTCTACAGCCCAGTGTTTCCTCCCTCGGACTTATCTCCGGCTCGTTTCCCTCCCCATTCTCCTCCTATGTCTCCTCCCCTCTCTCCTGACCCGACTCCTCCGTCTAACGTGTGGTCTCGTCGTCCGTCTCGTGCTCGTCCTACCTCCCTTGTTCCGCGGTCTCACTCTATGTTACTTCGCTCCCACGCGTCTCGTGCTCCTCTGCTCCTCCCGTCTCCTCCTCCGTCGTCGCTCGCTGTGGCCCCGCCTTCGTTCTCTTACTTCCTCCATGCCGCGCGTCCCCCTGTTCCTCGTGTCCTTGTCTCTCTTGTTACATACCCGTCTGTTCCTGTCTCGAGTCTGTCGGCTCTTGCCGCTACCCGCCGCCTTGACTACGCCACCGCTTTGGTGTCTGAACTTGCCTGCCCTCCTTCCGTCGGGGGTGCACCTTGTTTTGGCAGTGACGTCCTAGAGGACAGGCAGTACAAGCTCGCTTTCCTGTCTGAGGCCGCTCCCCATCTCTGTTCCATGCTTCTAGTCCCTGAGGGTGACATAGACGCCCTTGACATCCTGACCCCTCGCACCTACGCTGAGGCCACCTTAAAACCTTGGGCCTCTCAGTAGATAGCTGCCATGGAGCAGGAGAAGGCATCTTGGAGATCCACCGGTACCTTCGTCGACGCAGTTCCCCCACATGGGGTGAACGTAGTCGATGGCCGATGGCTCTTCAAGGTGAAGCGCCCTCGTGGAGAGCCGCATGTCTTCAAGGTGCGCTACGTTGCTCGAGGCTTCAGTCAGCGTGAGGGGGTGGACTTCTTTCAGACCTTTGCTCCGACCCCGAAGATGACTACTCTTCGGGCACTGCTACACGTAGTAGCACAGCGTAACTACGAGATGCACTCCCTCGACTTCTCCACATCTTTCGACCAGGGCAGTTTACACGAACAGGTCTACCTGCGCTTCCCCCAAGGCTTCTCCGGTACCTTTCCCCCTAGCACCGAGTGGCTCCTCCGGCGTCCCGTCTACGGATTGAGATAGGCGCCCCGTGAGTGGCACGAGACGCTGCGTGCTACACTTGCTGACCTGCATTTCTTCCCGTCGTCTGCAGACCCCTCGCTCTTCGTCCGTTCCGGCCAGACTCCGTTCTACATCCTTGTCTACAGCCCACCCCTCTGCCAGTAGACCATAGACTCTCTGCTCCAGTCCCGGAGGAGGTTGTAGAGCCTAGTGGTCCCTACGCAGAGCTGGTGGGTTTCCTCATGTACTCGATGACTTGCACTCGGCTAGATCTCACATACCCTCTCAGCATCCTGACTCGCTTTGTGGCCACAGGCAGACACCGGCCACAGCAGTGGTCGGCAGCTAAGAGGGGTTTGCGATATCTAGCAAGTACATCAGGCATGGGGCTAGTGCTAGGAGGACGCAGACCAATGGTCCTTACTGGGCACACAGACGCTTCTTGGGCAGACGACGCCGAGACTCTCAGGTCCTCCCAGGGCTACTGCTTTAGCCTTGGTTCAGGTGCCATTTCGTGGAGGTCCTCGTCTTTTGCCCAGTCTAGCTGTGAGGCTGAGATCTATGCCGGTGCCGTGGCGGCACAGGACCTCCGCTGGCTGACCTTCTTGCTCACCGACTTAGGTGAGCGGCCTAGCTATGCCCCGGCTATGTACGCTGACAACAGGGCCATGATCCTCCTGTGTCAGGAGCCTAGACTCGAGGGTAGAGCGAAGCACATCTAGCTGCGGTACTTCCTCCTGCGTAAGCTACAGCAGCGTCGCCAGGCCTGTGTAGTACACTTGGCCTCCGGTGCCAACACAGCTGATATCTTTACGAAGGCGCTTGAGCCTAAAGAACATCAGCGGCACTGTGTACAGCTAGGTCTCGTTCCAGTAGCCTCTCATTTGCTAGGGCCTTGATTGTGTACAAACATTTATATCTATTTTCCTGACTGGCCTTGTGGCCTCTTCCTAGTGGCTGGACTACCAGTAGTGCCGCCTCGATCTTGCTCTTGCCTTGTTTGTACTCGTCTGACTGGGTTTCTGACCCTTCTCTCAGAGGTTGGACTAGTAGTGCCACCCTGAGCTGTTTGTCTCTCACCAGGTACTACCCCTATCCAGTCTAGGGGGGGTGTCAAACATATCTTTGTTTGTTGTTATAGATAACACTGGATTGTGCCTTAGAGAGTACAACCCACTAGGTTTTATTCGCTTGTATGCCATGGTTCTAATCATTCGTTAACTTTGATACTAAGCAAGGTGCATAATCCATCCCACATATACTACACATCGTAGTGGCTCTCTGACAAGTTCATCGCAAAACATGTGTAACGGGTCTCACACGAATCCCCTCTTTCCATGTGTACTAGGCTACGAGACCAAAAGTTTCCTCCACCCAAATAATAGTGATAAATGTATACTTTAATCCGTTTGCAGTGCCCTACATGTAGCCAGGGGCCTTTTCACGGCATGCCGCTCACCCCATTGCCCCTAAGAGCCCGTTCCTTTGAGGAAGCAGAATTGCGAATGTCAGCAAGAGAGAAGCACTTGGTTGGCCCATTGCGACCAGCAGGCATCACCACTCCCCCTCCCTTCACTCCCTGCTGCGCACTGTGGTTCTGCTGCTCCTGCTGCAGAGAATAATAATACTGCTGATGTTGCAGCTGCAGAAGCTGCTGCGCTGTTGCAACCCTCCCCTTGCTCTGAGACCATCCTGGAAGAGTGGAATCAAACATAGTCCCCTCATTTAGGCTGCCCTGGCGGTGCACATAAGCCAAACCTGAACTCGTTCCTGCTCCTGCTCCTGCTGCTGCTGCTGCTGCTGCTCCTGCTGGAGCTGCTGCTGCTGCGAATGCACAAGGTGCAATCGATGGTGAACGAGGCGATGAGTAAGCTGCTCTTCCTGCTCCTGCTCCTGATGCTGGTGATGCTGCTACCGCCACTGCTGCAGCTGCTAGACCATCCCCATCAGCAGCATGAGGGAAGAGCATCCAGCTCTTGAGACTGCCGATCCCACCCATGCTAGCAGCTCTACTGATGCCACCTGCTCGTGCAGTTGTAGGCGGAGGTCGACGGTTCGATTCCCGGGAAACACCGCCGATGCCACTGCCGTTGCCACTGCCACTGCCGCTAAGATCCGTTGCAGAAGGACGGACCGCAAGCCTGGGAATTGGGCCAACCCCTCCGAAGCTGCCACTGATTGAGGCCGAACCTCTGTGCTGCCCCTTGCGCTGCTGCTGCTTTTGCTGTTGCTTTTGCTTTTGCTGCTGCTGCTGCTGTTGCTGCTGTTGCTGCTGCTTTTGCTGCTTCTGCTGATGAGGATGCTCAAAAGAACTGACCACGGGAAAGGCAGGAGCAGTGTTCCCTCCAGTTCCCCCACCTCCAGCACTACCACTGAAGGGGAACGAGCTCCAGGAAGCAACCCGCTGGTGCCTTACTCGCTCTCCGGCTGTTCGCTCTAACACTCTCACTCCTCTCCCCCCTCCCCTATCACCAGCCCCAACTCCTCCTGCTCCTGCGGCTCCTGCTGCTGTGGCAGTTTCAGTGGCGGGGACTGCTGCCTGTGCTGCAGCTGCAGCAACAGCAGAGAAAGCAGACGGTAGGGATGGTGCTGAATATAGTTGACTCCTCGTCCTCCTTGCTCTTCCTCCTCCTTTGCCTCCTCCTCCGCCCCCTGCTCCTCCTGATCCTCCTCCGGCTGCTCCTACTTCTTCTCCTAATCCCCCTTCCCGTCCTCCTAAACCTGCACCTGGCCCAACACCTGGCCCTGCACGCGTTCTCTCCCACGACCCCTGCTTCACCATCACCACTTCAGAATGCTGGTTTGAAGGCTGGCTTGAGGGGTACTCACAAGAGTACCCCCGCTTCACCATCTCGCCCTCTGACCAGTGCCCTGAAAAGCCCGTCTCCCCTCCTCCCCACTCTCGGTGCTCCTCCTCAGTCGTCGCACCCCTTGCCTCCTCCCCATCACCTTCCACACCAGAATCCCGCCTCCATACCTCCTCCTCTCCTTCCTCCCCTCCCTTCTCCGTTCGACCAACACCCTTGCTACTAGGGCAGTCTTCCTCGTCCGAGGGATCTGGGTAGTAGGGGGTGGGCAGGCGGGGAGGGGCGCGGGGGGATGCTTGCTCCGTCCTCTCCTCTTCCTGCTGCTCCTCCTGCTGCTGCTGCTGCTGCTGCCGCGTCTGAAAAAGCTGGTGCTCCCACCCCTCCTGAACAGGCTGCTGCTGGTGCTGCTGTTGCTGCTGTTGCTGCTGGTGCTGCTGGTGCTGCTGGTGCTGCTGTTGCTGCTGTTGCTGCTGTTGCTGCTGTTGCTGTTGTTGCTGCTGTTGCTCTAAGCTACGCACCCGGATTCTGCTGCTGATACTGCTGCCACTGCTGCTCCTGCCCATCCCCTCTGGCCTGCCCATCACCACCGCCACAGAATCCGCACTCGACTGTTTCAGAATCCCTTTGTGCAGGGCAGTATAGATGACACTGCCGCTCCCACTGCTGTCAGCACTGCTTCCCCCGCTGCTGATGCTACTGATGCTGCTGCACGCACCACCGCTGTAACCGCTGTTGCCACTGCCACTGCCACTGCCATTGCTGCTACTTAAGCAATTACCTAAACCTGACAAACAGTCCACTTGCTGCTGCTGTTGTTGCTGTTGTTGTTCTTGTTGTTGCTGCTGCTGCTGCTGCTGCTGCGGCTGGTGGTGCTTCTTCCATCCCGAGGGGTCCTGCCGCTGAGGCGTGCTGCTTCTGCTTGGACCAGGACTGCCAGACTTGAGAAGAGTTGACATGCTTTGCTGCTGCTGCTGCTGCTGTTGGTGCTGCAGATGCTGCTGCTGCAGTTGCTGCTGCTGCTGCTGCTGCAGTTGTTGGTGCAGATGCTGCTGCTGCTGTTGTTGCTGCCATCGTGGTGGCGGGGGTAGTGAGCTGCTGTGCATGTAATTTTCACGCATAGGCTCTCTCCAGTTAAAGCCTCCCCCACTCACCCCCCCACCCCCACTGCTGCCCCTCCTCCCTAACTGCTGCAGCCACACTTCCTCAGCCTCCTCCTCCCCTGCTTCCTCCTCCTCCTCCTTACTTCTTCTCTCCTCCTCCCTTCCCACACCTGCCCCTTCCCTGGGGCTGCTCTCGGCCACGTCAGCAGCTGCGGCTGCCAGCTCATCATCCACGTCAGCATCCTCTGGAGCTAGGGTGTAAGGCGTGGGGGATCGCAGCACCATGCCACGTTTCATGACCCGAGAAGCAACGCCGCTGCTAGTAGTACCATCGGCGTTACCGCTTCCATTCTCACTGCTGCTGCTGCTGCTGCCACTGCCACTGCCACTGCCACTGCCACCTCTTTCCCTGCTAGTACAAAGCCCACCAGAGTCGGCAGCAGAGGCTGCAAAACCCTCGTGAACAGTATCGCCACTGCTGATTCCAGCCCTTGTACTCGCTCCCATCCCCTCCTGTTCACGCGCCAAACCATTCCCGAGGCCCGACCCCCTTCTCACAGCACTGTTCATGGCACCGTTCATGGCACTGTTCATGGCACCGTTCATGGCACTGTTTACTGCAGCAATGTTTGCTGGGCTGCCAAGAGAGGCGTTGACGAGGGAGGAAAAAGGGCTACCAGACGTGCATGTGAGGTTTGCTTCCACCGAGCTGCTGCTATGCATGCGCGGCACAGCATAGCTGCCACTGCCGCTGCCAGTGCCAGTGCCACCACCAGTGGCATTGGCAGTGGTGCTAAGGTTGCTCAGGGAGGATCTACCCCGGGAGGCAATCGGCGCCAGCAGGCCCACATGCGGTGGAGACCCCACGCCCCCTCTCCCTCCTGTAACCCCTCTTCCTCCTGCCATCCCTCCTCCTGCTATCCCCCCTGTTATCCCTCCTCCTGCCCCTCCTCCCGTTGCCATAGCAGCCGTGAACGCGTGCATGCTGCCCATACCCACCGGCAGGGAGCTCTGGCGCTGGTGCAACGCTCTACACGCAAGAGAGGCAGAAAACCCAGCGCCACTGCCGCCAACACCACCAGCACCACCACTACCACCACTGCCGCTGCCAATGCCACCACCACCACCACTACCAATGCCAGCATCAAAACCGGCACTGTTACTGCCAGTGCTACCAGCAATGACCAGGCCAAGCCTGCTGCTGCAGCTGCTGCTGCTGATGCTGCTGCTGGTGCTACGGTGCCTGCCCGTGGGAGTGGTGCTGACTGCTCGTCTGACTAATGGGGGTGCTGACGGGCTGTTGACGCCCGACACAGTACTGCTTCTCTGCCACCTGCCGTCAGCAGCAGCAGCAGCAGCAGCAGAGGCAGCAGTACTGTGTGGGGCAGGAGGATAACCAGGCAAGCCAGCAGCAGAAGCACCAGCACCAGCACCACCAGCACCATCAGCAGCACCAGCAGCACCAGCAGCACCGCTGGTATCGGCCTCCCATTCATCCTCACTGTCAGGAACAGGGTAGTAGGGCGTTGGTTGTCTCTCAGATACCTTACATGCCAAAATCTCCTCCAGATGCTCCCTCTGCTCCTCGCTCGCCCCTGCGTCTACCACTGCTGCTGCTGCTGCTTCTGCCAGATCATGCTGCTGCTGCACCAGAAGCAGCAGGCCATTCCTCTCCTGCTGCTCCCGCCGCTCCTGCTGCTCCCACCGCTCCTGCTGCTCCCGCCGCTCCCACCGCTGCTGCTGCTGCTCCTGCTGCACTTGCAGTTGATGTTGCTGCTGGGGGTGATGCTGCCTCGAAAACTGGCTGCTTGCAGCGGCCAAAGCTGCTGCTGCGGCTGGTAGTGGTGAGGCAAGCAGATGAGGAGGAAGATGGCTGGTGTTGGAATGGAAATGAGTGGGAGGCAAGTCTACCTGCTGCTGTTGATAAAACTGCTGCTGCGGCTGCGGCTGCTGCTGCTGCTGCTGCTGAGACCTTTCCAGGATTGTTGCGCTTCCAGCTCCGTTTAGAGCAGGAGGAAGAAAAACGAGGGGAATTTGAGTCGAATCAACAAGAATTTTGCTCCAGCTACCGCTACTGCTACAGCTGCTACTACTACTGCTGCTGCTGCTACTACTAGTACTGCTGCTGCTGCTGCTACCACAATCACCGCTTCGAGAGCCACCAGTGAGACCCGGTTTAATCCGACAGTCACTAAGCCCTTCAGCAGCAGCCTCACCTCCCTTGACTCCACCCCTCTCTCCGGGTGGCTCGTGCCTCTGCTGCTCCTCCCACCGCTCCTGCCTCCTCCGCTGCAGCAGCAGCCGGTGAGAAGCAGCATCGTTTGGAGTCGCCTCGAGTAGCGGTGCTTGTTGACAAGCAGCAGCAGCAGCCGGACCAACAGCGTGCGCAACACTAGCAGCAGCAGCAGCAGCAGTAGCAGCAGCATTAAGGCCAGCGCCAGCTAAGGCATTGACTCCTGGAGCATCCCTCACGCGCAGTGGCAAGCCAGTAACGTGGTAACCACGGGAGAAGCAAGGAGGATGGCTCGTTAAAGGACCTCCAACCAGCGCAGGGGACAAGAAAGGAGGCCCGTACGGAGGCGCAGCAGCAGGAGGAAGCAGAGGATACGTGGGAGGAGAGGGTAGAGGAAGAGGAGAGGGTGCGGAGAGTTGGTACAGCACGAACGGATGCGACAGCAGCTGCTGTGCTGACGGCCGTGCTCCAGGGTCTCTAGCGAGGCAGCTCTTAAGGAAGCTTTTTCCATCGTGAGATAAGCCCGGCGGGAGCTTCGGACGCTTGGGGGTGCTGGCGGTGGGAGGGTGGGAGGTTAGGGCGGGGCCGTGTGGGAATTGGCCTGTGGATAGCTCGACTACTGTGCATGCGAGCGACCATATGTCTGCTGCCCGCGCTGCTGCTGCTGCTGCTGCTGCTCCCCCTGCTCCTTCTGCTCCCCCTGTTCCCCCTGCCCCGCCTGCTCCCCCTGCTCCTTCTTCTGCCCCACCAGAAGCAGCAGCAGCAGCAGCAGCAGCAGCAGGAGCGGGTCCCAAGACTTCCACCCCTGCAGCCCACGCCAGAATCTGCGCAGCAACTGTCGCATCGGTGCACCCATGCTGATCGAGCCCTCCCTCCACAACGGCCGACCCGAACCCACAAAGCTTCAACACCGGCTCGCTTGGGGGATAACTCACGGGATAATTCACAGGGTAATTTACAGATAGAGTCACGGGATAATTCGCGAGATAATCTACAGGGTAACTTCCAGAATAGCCCCCGTGACTATACGAGGAGGCGGCGTGTGTGTTCAGCGTGTCTATAAGCACATGACTCGCGCGCAGGTCGCCATGGGCCACCCCTCTAGCGTGAATCGCGGCGAGGCTCTCCACTAAGGAGCGAGTGAGGCGACGAACCACAGCCTCGTCAAGCCCGCCGGGAAACGCGGAGAGCAGGGAGCCTAAGCTCCCCCCGGGGACGTGCTCCACAAGCAACGTGGTAACTACCGGCTGCTGCGGCGGCTGCTGCTGCTGCTGCTGCTGCTGCTGCTGCTGCTGTTGCTGCTGCGCATTTCCCGTTAAACTAAATCGTTCCGGCTGCCCCTGCTGCAGCTGCGCCTGTTGCAGCGGCTGCTGCTGGGGGGGATCCGTTTGGTCAAGCTTCCGCGGATCCTGCTCCGGCGGAATTCGTTGCTCCGTGGCCCCGCCCATCGTTTCCGCGCCGCCAAACGTTTCCGCTCCGCCGATTGGTTCCGCCGACCAATCCCATCCCAGCAGCTGCACCGCGTGCGGGCACCCGCGGAGCCGTTCAAGCGCGCGCGCCTCGTTAACTAACGCGCGCAAGCCGCGCGCCGACAATTCCGCAGCATGACTCCCCGCGCTGCTAGTACTAGCCGCGCTGGTGCGAGCCGTCGCGTTAGTCGACTCGCTAGTAGCGTTCCCTGCGGTTGTCGCGCTGCCGCTGCCGAAACAAGCACTACTACTGTTAGTAGCCGTGCTACTAGCACTAATATCATCATCGAAATGGGCCGCACCGAAAGGATTGCATTTCGCGACGAGTAGACGAGCCGTGGTTCTGTCGATCGCCAGATGAACCTTGCTGCCCGGGAAAAGCGGGCGCCCGCGTCGCCAGCTTCCGCTGCTAGGCGAAGGCGGCGGGGGAGCCGCGTGCGGGGGAGTCGTGGCGGTCGTTGTGACTTGTGGCCGTTGATTACGCGCTGGGGATGACGGTGGCGGATGGACGGTGAAGATTGCTCCGCCAACGAGAGGCGGAGGGATAAGGGAGGTGGTGGAGTGCAGAGCGGCGGGCAAAGCGGCCGAGCGAGGGGGGAAGGTTGCGCATCGCGGATTTGCGCGGGGAGGCGGCGAGTCGTCTCCGCGGAAGTCGTTAGACACTTGACGAAAGTCGTGAGGCCCTCTGCGAAAGTCTTTGTCCTGTCTGCGAAAGTCGTCGGCCTCATTGGGCACTGTACGAAGGTCGTCGTCGTCGGGTTCGCGATCCTCTTCCAGCAGAAGCAAGAGCTCCGCCTGCGAAAGCGGGTGCTGGTGAATAAAGCCCGGCATCCTTACCCCGCTGCGCGTAGTCTAAGTTTTCTTCTTGATTCCTAAATTAACGACGCATTCTTTCTGGAGAGCTGGAGTCAGAGAGTAACAAACAGAACGGCAGTAAGCAAGAATGCGAGACTGACCATTGACCAAGCCAAAGTTTGTTGCTGTGTGAGTGTCATTCTGTTTGGTGCCAGCTTGCCAAGTCCAAGGTCTGCTGACTTTTTCTGTTCGCCCGCTGTATGAAGGTGATGCAAGCTCAGACGAGCTGGCAAGCCCAAGGGGCAAAAATCTATGCGGTTGGAGACAAGCCCAAGGGGGAATTCGAGGGGCAGGACAGAATCAGGAGCTGACAAGTTGTCCAAACTTCGATGCTGTCCAGACTTCAGGAACGCGATCTGAATTTTCCACCTTGCTCGTCGAACACGGTTTATCAAGTTTTATAGCATTTTCTGGGTTTTCAGGTTCTTTAGAGCGGTTTTGTACGGTGCTATGTTCACTGAACTTCAGAACGAGGCGACGACGGCCATCCTATTGTTCTGCACATGGCAGTCAGTCAAGAGGGCAGGCATGGGGGAGGAGGAGACGACTCCAAAAACTTCCATGGGAGCGTGGTGCACTTGCCTTCGGTCGTCGGGCGCCCGTCGATCTTGGCGCCGGACGGGCGCCCGTCGGGCGGGATGTGTGGCGGTTGGGTCTGTTTATATAGATTTTGTTCTGGTTGAGTGCGGTGAAAAAGAGGGGTGAGCTCTGGTGCCTGGTTGGGAGCCCCCAGGGCGCCCGGCGCCGACGACCGAGGGCACTTGCACCACGCCCTAAGAGCAGCAGCTGAGGGGTGGAGAAATTTATGGGGCGTGAGGTGATGGCATTGGCCCACACCGCACCTCAGGCCGATCTCACCCGACCGACCCACCTCAGGCACTTTTCGGGGCGGCGGCGATTGGATCCCATTGGAGGGTCAGACAGTGTGGGCCGTAGAGGCGAGGTTTGGCACAAGGCTCATCCCCTTTAATGGACAAACATCTACAAATTTATTCTCACACAACAAATACGTGAATTAGAGCAGAAACCATTCTTACAATCGCAACTTGGAAACAATTCCAGCTTCCTGTAAAAAACTTCACCCAAATCATAATATTTTTTTCCTCAGAGTAATGATTGAGCATATTTTCAGCACGGTAAATGCCATGCTGATGCTTTAAAAATTCAATGGAGCTAGGCATAACCCATCTTGAGTGAGCTTAAGTTTTTTGTACGCATACTGTGTGTAGTTCTAAAGAAACGCAAAGAGCGTGAGTCAAATAATTGAGTAGCGAGGAAACAATACAATCGAGGCAACATTAAAATAACAGGGAGTGTGGATACAGCCAGCCTAGAGCACACGGTCGTGGCTCGGCAGAGCTGCGACGTATGGTTCGTAAATTGGCACGAAGTGTTAAATTATATATTATATATATATTTTTAGGCTTGGTAGTTGTGCTACTTACTGAATCCTACTGTAGAGGAAACTACCCCCCCTTCTTGTATCTCCTTCTCTTCTAGTCCAAATCCCTCTCGACATTTTTCTCCATCCTAAACCTTACGCCATTTCATGGCTTCTCTTCCCTAGCTACCTAGCTTATTTTAACACGAAGCGCCCCAACCTAGGCATGAAACAACAAGGCGGGCAAAATGCATGCGGCTCGTTAGCAGGCCACATTATCAAAGTTAACGAAATAACTAGAAAGGTGGGATACATGGGAATATATTCTACTGGGTTGTACTCTCTAAGGCACAACCCTGTGTAATCTATAACAATATACAAAGATATGTTTGACACACCCCCTGGACTGGATAGAGGTAGTGCCTGGTGAGAGACAAACAGCTCAGGATGGCACTTCTAGTCCAACCTCTGAGAGAAGGGTCAGAAAACCAGTCAGACGAGTATAGACAAGGCAAGAGCAAAACCAGGGCGGCACTACAAGTCCAGCCACTGGGAAGAGGCCACAAGGCCAGTCAGGGTAATATATATAAAGGTCTGTACACAATCAAGGTCCTAGCAAGTGAGAGGCTACAGTAACAAGACCAAGCTGATGAACTTTAGGCGCAAGCGCCTTCGTAAAGATATCAGCTGTGTTGGCACCGGAGGCCAAGTATACTACGCGGGCCTGGTGCCGCTGCTGTAGCTCGCGCAGGATGAAGTACCGCAGGTGGATGTGCTTCGCTCTGCCCTCGAGTCTGGGCTCCTGACACAGGAGGATCATGGCCCTATTATCAGCGTACAGGACCCGGGCAGAGCTAGGCCGCTCCCTTAAGTCTGTGAGCAAGAAAGCCAGCCGGCGGAGCTCCTGTGCCGCCACGGCACCAGCGTAGATCTCAGCCTCATAGCTAGACTGGGCAACAGACGACGAACGGGTGGACAGCCACAAGACAGCACCTGCACCAAGGCTAAAGAAGTAGCCCTGGGAGGCCCGGAGAGTCTCTGCGTCGTCGGCCCAAGAAGCGTCTGTATGCCCAGCAAGGACCACTGGTCTGCGTCCTCCTAGCACTAGCCCCAAGCCCGATATACTTGCTAGATAACGCAAAACCCTTTTAGCTGCCAACCAGTGCTGTGGTCGGTGTCTACCGGTGGCCACAAAGCGAGCCAGGATGCTGAGAGGGTATGCGAGATCTGGACGAGTGCAAGTCATCAAGTATATGAGGCAACCCACGAGCTCTGTGTAGGGGCCACTAGGCTCTACAGCCTCCTCCGAAACTAGAACAAAGAGTCGGTGGTCTACTAGTAGAGGGGTGGGCTGTGCGGAAGAGAAGTGAAGGCACCGCCAAGCACCGCTCTACACCGCACAGCACCGCACTACACCGCGTTGTACCGCTCTGCACCACACTGCACCGCTCTGTATTGCACATCACCGCACTACACCGCTCTGCACCGCACAGCACTGCACTGCACCGCACTGCACCGTACAGCACCGCACTGCACCGCTCTGCACCGTACAGCACTGCGCTGCTGCTGCATCGCTCCTGATGGCGGACTCCGTGCTCCGCTTCGACGTAGAGGGACAGCCGATCGAGTTTGACACGTGGCTCGTCGACCTCCAGCGTCACCTCACTGGTCAGCGGCAGGACGGCCACTCCCTGGCGGTCCACCTTGACGGTACGCTCCCCTGCCCTGAACCCCCGGCTCCCCTGCCCGCTGACGCCTCGTCCGCTGACCGTGAGTCCGCTGCAGCTGCTGCCCTTGCCCGCTCAGTTTGGCTGTCGCGTGACGCTGTCGCGCAGCTTGCGATCAGTCATGCCCTCCCCCTATCTGAGCGCCCACGCTTTAGGTCAGTCACGACTGCGCAGGAGTTTCAAGCGCTATTCCACCCCGCCTGCTGCCTCTGTAGGCAGTCACGATCAGTCATGCCCTCCCCCTTGATCCTGCCGATGCTCTTCCCTGACCTTGTGTCTTTCCCTACTGTCGCTGACCTGGCCGCTCACCTGCGCACGATAGACGCGACCTGGCATGCTGCCTGCACTGAGACCCAGCTTAGAGCCTTTCAGCCGCCCCTTTGCTCTGCCCTCTACCTGCTTGCCACCCGCCTCCCTGATCGTCTTGCTACTACCTGCGACCACTTCCTTAGCACCCACCCTCGTGACCTCACTCTCACTGACTTTGTCGACACCCTGACTGCCATAGAGACCCGTCCACGCTCTATCGCCCAGACCAGCGATACTGTGCCAGTCCCTATCTTTCAGGGTTGTGCCCTCACTCAGTGCACCTTTTCCGACGGTTCTGTCGCTGTGGCTGAGTCTGCAGCTGCAGCGCAGATCCGTTCCGGGAAGGGCCGCCGCCCCAAGGCTGGGCGCGGTGGTAGGGGTGGAGGTGCACGTAGTGGTAGCGCTGACGAGGGAACCCTGATAGGTGCAGCCGAGCAGCCGCAGGTGTCACAGCCGGACACGCACCAGCCGCAGCAGCAGCCCTCGCACCAGCCTCAGCAGCCACAGCAGCCGCAGCAGCAGAGGGGGGCGAGTGGCCTCCCGATCGGGTGGCCTGGCGCTGGTGGTGGCGGTGGACGTGGTGGTCGTGCGCGTGGTGGGCTGCCGGGTGACGGGTCGGGTGACGCGCGCTGTCAGTACCAGCTCCAGACCGGTCCTCGCCGTGGTTCTATTTGCGGTAAGATCGGTCACACCTCCGTCCGCTGTTTCCGTCGCCTGGACGACCTCTTTCGTCAGCGCTTCGGCCCGTCGCCCGACCTCCCCGACTGGCATAGCTTGTTTCGTCGTAGCGTTCCGATCTTTGATATGGACATGGATGAGATTGTTGCTGCCCTGCATGTGATGTATTTTGATGACTCTAGTGTGACTGCTTCTTTCTACCCCTTGTTGCCTAGTGTAGGCATGTCTAGTCTTGCCTCCCCTGCTGCGTTAGGCGTAGGATCCCCTGCTTTGTTTAGCCTAGGTTCTACTATCGCTGCTCTGTCTTCAGACGCCACCGCTGCGCTCTCCTTCACCCTCGACTCTGGCGCTTCTCGGTGTTTCTTCCGTGACTCCACTACGCTGATGCCGCTTGCTACTCCTGCTGCAGTTTCCCTTGCCGACCCCTCCTCCGGCCCGGTATTCGCTCGCAGTTCCACCACCCTTCCCTGTCCGGCAGTTCCTTCGGGCTCTCTTACAGGCCTGCACATCCCCTTGTTCTCCAGGAACCTAGTTGGTGTCGGCTGCCTCCAGGACCTTGGCGTCACCACTACGTTCCCTGGTCATGAGAGGTACGCTGTCTGTACTGAGGCCGCCTCTGGTGCCCCCCTCACCACGTTTTCCCGGGACCCGATGTCCGGCCTGTTCACACTGGACACTGCGACCCCCTTGGTAGGGACGTCTTATCAGGTGGCTGCGTCTACCCAGGTTGTTGCGACCTGCTCCTGTCGGTCGCTCACTCACTCGACACTCCTGTGGCACCACCGTCTAGGTCACCCCGCCCTCCAGCGCCTGCGTCACATGTCACAGCACGGTCTTGTCCTCGGTCTCCCAAGGTCGTTCCCCGAGTTGCCCTCCTCCCCGGCACCACCGTGCACGCCCTGTGTCGAGGGCCAGCTCCGCCGTGCCCCTCACTCCTCCTCTTTCCCCCCTACCGCCGCACCGCTACAGACCCTGCACATGGACGTCTGGGGGCCCGCCCCCGTCCATGGGCCGCGTCGAGAGCGTTGCTTCCTAGTGCTTGTCGACGACTACACGCGCT